AAAAAAAAAATTTACATATTTGATTTCTGTTTCTATTTTGCAAAATCCATTTGGAATCAAGTCAATTGCATCAGTGGAGTTGCAATTTTTCGTTTACGTTGCTTCTAGTTCTAATAGCATGCTGCTAGCTTAATTGACATGTGTTTTTCCTTTGTTTCAGCTTCTTTGTTGATAATACACCCATCAGAGAATTCAAGAATGCAGAGTCAAGAGGAGTACCATTCCTAAAAAACCAACCGATGAGGATATACTCCAGTCTCTGGAACGCTGACGAGTGGGCCACTCAAGGCGGTCGAGTCAAGACGGACTGGACTCTATCTCCATTCACGGCCTCATACAGAAACTTCAGTGCCAATGCTTGCATTTGGTCTTCTGGAGCATCTTCTTGCAGTTCAAGTTCTTCATCTTCAACCTCTGGCACCAGGGCATGGTTCAGACAAGGGCTAGATGCAAAAAGTCGGGTGAAGTTGAGATGGGTGCAAAAGAACTACATGATTTATAACTACTGCACGGACACAATGAGATTTCCAGAAGGTATAGCTCCAGAATGCGGTATGAATTAGAGAAAGTGAAATGATATATGCTTTTTCTTTTTTTAGGCTATTATCTGTGGCCATGCCATTTTTTTGTACTCTTTTTTTATGTAACCTTACACAGAACAATTTTTTTATTCTTTTTCATACTTGTTTCTGAATAAGTAAAGGAGACCAAATTAACATTGGGTTTTTTTGAATGTGGGTACAATTTTTTAGATTTATTTAAGCAAAAGTGTATGGATAAATTATTTATTCCATCAAATATAATTTTTATAAAAAAATTTGTGTTTAAGTACAAAATTCAAAATGAATTAAAATTATTTTTACCTAAACACTTTTCCTTAATTTATGCAGTCATCATTGACAGTTATTTGAGGAAACAAATATGTAAAAATTAACAATAATAATGGGAGATAAAATAGGAGTTTTAGAGAGCAAGAGAGAGCAAAAACAAAGGTATTTCGTGCTAGAAGATGAAAATGAAAATGAAGCTGAAAGAGTATGGGTGCAAATATGCAGTTTATTTCACTTTAAACTTTATATATCGACTCATGTCACCAACCTTACTTCTACGTCATCTGACTAAAAGGAATAAAGTCTTTTACTATGATGATTCATCAAACCCTAAATTTTCCCTAAAAACAAAAAAAAAAAAAGAGAATAGATCAAGATGTTTTGTTAGATATTATGTATTGTTCGTTGTTGGAATGTAGGAAAAAAATAACTTCTTAGTTTTTTATAATAGGTGTGACTGTTTTTTAATATGTATAACTGTTTTTTTAATAGGTGAAACTATTTTTTTAATAGGTGTAACTGTTTTTTAATTTGTGTAACTATTTTTTTAATGAGTGTAATTATTTTTTAATTAGTGTAACTGTTTATTTAGTGTGTGTAACAATCACAGTCTCATGTTTACAACTCGTAGTTTCCAAGTCTGATCACCTTGAGATGATGTAAGGACCTTCCCAATTAGGACCCAATTTTTCATGAGATGGGTCCTTCCTTGTAAGCGAGAGCTTTCTAAGTACTAAATCTCCGACTTTGAAACTCCTGTGTTTGACCCTTCTGTCGTAGTATTTTGCTGTCTTCATCTGATAATTCTTAATACGATGTAGAGCTATGTCTCTCTTTTCATCCCGGAGATGGTGTAACAGTGCCGCAATATTAAATGGTGTAATTATTTAGTTTATGTAAACAACTGAATGACAAATTGAGTTGATATCACAATTTTGTGTAATTATTTTGTGTAACTGTTTAGTTTATTAGAACACATGAATAATTATTTAGTATATTGTATGACAATTGTAACTGATTGATATAACTGTGTTATTGTAATATTAATATAAATAGAGTAAGAGAAAATAGGGAGAAAGAGAGAGAGAGAGATAAATTGTTAGAAAAAATATGCCCCTATTTTATCTCTCATTACTTGATTGTAGCCAAAAAAAAAAAAAACAAAACAAAAGAATACAAAAGGGTTTCATCCATATGTTGTTTACAGATGACAATAGTGACATTTTTAAAAAATATGCACTTTACCTCAAATAAGTTTTTAACTTATATTTTTGTCCAAATAAGTATAAAAAATTGTACCGGCTTTTAAATTTTCCATTAACATTTGACACAATGCGACATTAATCGCAACACTCTAGTGGCCTTTGAGCCCGATTTAGAACTTAAAACTAAAATTTTATAAAGTTCTCATAATTGACAAATTAAAACTCAAATAATTTAATCTCAATTCATCTTACACCCCAACTATCCACCACCCATTAACCTAATTGCTATCATCACCACCACCACCCTATCATCACCGCCAACTCCATTATCCCTCCCAATTACTATCACCACCATAATGATCAACATCACTCCACCACAACCACCACTTACCTATCTCAATTATCCTTGACCATCCTTAACTACCACCTCAACAGCCCATCGCCACCACCATCACAACCTCACCATGGTCGCTTGATCGTTGCCCCCACCAACCAACCACCCCACCACCACCTTGCCACAACTACCAACCACCATTGTTAAAATTCAAATAAGATGAATAAAGAGAGAAATAATAACAGCAATATCACAAAGGAAATAACGTGATTCTATCCATAGGTCGATGCCTACGGCACAAAAAATCCAAAGTACTACAATTTTATTTAATATCTATATAATAGAACATATAGTAACTTGAATTTTTATCTCTTATATATTTTTCTCCCTAAAAATATCACATCGCTCATTTCTATTACATGTTCAATCATATTGTAGTTTAACATAATTTTTATTTTAAACATTATCCATATGAGATAATATACATATGTTAAAAAAATTTATTATAATGAGATCAATTTTTTGAGCGCTCGATTTTTATGTTTCATCGTGCTTTGAAGAACGGGTTATGACTAGTTGATGAATAATACGCGTGAGATACACCCATATATAATGCGACAAGTACCATTATATCCCATAATCATGGCAATAGACATAAATCAACATATCAAATTATGCCATTAAAGGGTCCGACTACAGTACAGAAAATAGCTTTTCGGTATGGTACCGAAAAAAGGGAATGAATGGTTCACAACTGATGAAAAACTTCCACCGTTGATCAAACCTGTTACTTTTTACCGGCTACCCACTTACCCTTAAAAAATGGTATTTTCATTAAAAAAAACAGAAGAGGATCTTTTCATTAAAAAAAAAAAATCGCTCAACTGGAAGAAGAAGGAGAAAGATCAATGAAGTAAGAAAATTGTTTTTATCCTATGAGATTATAAAATTATTGTCATTTATTAAAACTAAGATTGAGATTATAGTAAATTTATTTTTAAAAAAAAAAATTCAGACGACGAAGATGAAGGAGAAAGAAGATGAAGTTGCAGAATTGTCCAATAAATTTAGCTTGTCCAATAAATTTCACTTATATCCCAAAATTATCACATTTTTTCAATTTATTCATCATATTTTTCATATTATACCTTGAACTATGTAATTGGTTTCAATAGCCCAATTTTTTTTACCTATTTTAATTTAACACCAAAAGGTGTAACAAATATGATATGTTTGATATAATTTATTTAGCGTGAAAAACATGTAGTTGCAGAATTATTTTTATCCCTATGAGATTATAAAATCATCATCATCATTTATTAAAACTAAGATTGAGATTATAGTAAATTCATAAAATAAAAAAAACTCACACGATGAAGAAGATGGAGTTACAAAATTGTTTTTGTCCATATGAATCATTTATGAGATTTTAAATCATCATCATTTATTAGTTAAAACTAAGGTTGAAATTATAGTAACCTTATATGTAAAAAAAATAAATACACATTTTTTTATTAACATTCACTTTTTTGGTAAAGATTACATTTTTTTTGTTAAGAATACAACTTTTTTTGTTAAGATTACCACTCTTTTGGTTAACAGTACCATTTTTTTGGTTAACATTAATACTACTTTTTTTGGTTAATATTACCACCAATTATGAGTACCATTTTTTTTGTTAACAATATCACTGTTTTGGTTAACAGTACTACTGTTTTGGATAATATTATCACTTTTTTTGGTAAGCATTACCACTTTTTTGGTAAGCATTAGTACTATTTTGATTAAGAGTACCACTTTTTTGGATAATATTATCATTGTTTTCGTTAAAATTACCACTATTTTGGTTACAGTATCACTATTTTTGTTAAAAATACTACCTTTTTTGTGAACATTACCACTGTTTTAGTTAAGAGTACCATTTTTTTGGTTCATATTACACATTTTTTGGTTATCATTACAACTTTTTTTAGTTAATAGTACCACTTTTTTTGGTTAATATTACCACTATTTTGATTATGATCAACACTTTTTTGGTTAATATTACCATTTTTTTGTTTAACAATACTACTGTTTGGTTAAGAGTACAACTTTTTTGGTTAAAATTACCACTATTTTGGTTAAGAGTACCACTGTTTTGGATAATATTACTATTTTTTTAGTTAATCTTACCATTGTTTTGGTTAAGAGTACCATGTTTTGAATAATATTACAATTTTTTTGGTTAAGAATACCACTTTTTAGGTATGCATTACCACTATTTTGGTTAAGAGTATCACCGTTTTGGTTAATAGTACCACTTTTTTGGTTAATTTTACAACTGTTTTGATTATGAGTGTTAACATTACCACTATTTTGGACAATATTGCCACTATTTTTGTTAGGATTATCACTCTTTTGATTAACAATAACACTGTTTTCGTTAAGAGTATCACTTGTTTGGTAAACATTACCACTGTTTTGGTTAAGAGTACCACTTTTTTGGTTAAGATTACAACTTTTTTGGTTAACATTACAACTTTTTTTAGTTAATAGTACCACTTGTTTGGTTAATATTACCACTATTTTGATTATGAGTACCATTTTTTTGGTTAATATTACCATTTTTTTTGCATAAGAGTACCATGTTTTGGATAATATTACCATTTTTTTGGTTAAGAATACCACTTTTTAGGTAAACATTACCATTTTTTTGGTTAAAAGTACCACTATTTTGGTTAATAGTATCACTTTTTTGGTTAATATTACCACTGTTTTGATTATGAGTACCATTTTTTTGGTTAACATTACCACTATTTTGGTTAAGAGTATCACTGTTTGGATAATATTGCCACTGTTTTTGTTAAGATTACCATTCTTTTGGTTAACAGTACCATATTTTGGATAATATTATCACTTTTCTGGTTAACGTTACTACTGTTTTAGTTAAGAGTATCACTATTTTGATAATATTACATTTTTTTGGTTAATCTTACCACTGTTTTGGTTAAGCGTACCACTGTTTTGGTTACATTAACACAATTTTGGTTAATTTGGTTAAGAGTGCTGCTGTTTGGATAATATTACCATTGTTTGGTTAAGATTAACTGTCATTACTTTCGTTAAGATTAATACTTTTTTTGGTTAAAGTACCATTTTTTTTGATAATATTGCCACTGTTGGTTGACATTATCATTTTTTAGGCTAAGACCACT